AAATCTCGATATGCCCCTCTTGTTTGTGACTGGGATGCCGAGGATCACAAAGCGGGTGTGAATAACCATGCAAACTACATGGTGCCCTCACATGTTACAATCACCTATTCGATGTGCCGGTAAACCACACACGCTCCACCGAACTATGACAAACATTGAGTCACCCTTTGCTACCTTTGCTTAGAACCATTTAGTGTGCCGGTAAACCACACACGCTCCACTAACGTCTTCGCAAGGGCACAAAGTGTAATTTCATGGAATTGCATCAATTCACTTTTGCCTAAGTAACTAAGATTGGGAATTTGCGAAACATTTAGTTACTCTGTATTTCATTATACTTATAATGGAAGGTTTCGTCCTATCCTACCCGTTCGGCTAACGACCCTCCACTAGTCAAGAGTGCGGTGGGTAAGAGTGGATACCCATTCAATCGCCATTTTATAGGCAATTTCCTTAAACACCCCTTATAGACCAGCTTCGTGAATGAGGCCTACTAACGGTAAGACTGACTTTTACTCATACATATATATAATGTTAGACTTTTAATGTTATATATAGTATAGGGTGTATTTTATACTTTTAAAATACTATATGGTTAACTTTAACAATTACACTTTTAATTCAATTAAAAGGTTAACCTAAACTTTTATGGATTTATTAAACCTCTTTTAATTATACTCCTTAATTAATTAATAAAACCATAAGGGTGTGATTTGAACTTTTCAAAACATTACTAGAGTTTTAGAATTTAACATTTCTAATTAAACCTTTTAATCAACTTTTAAATTCCAAAACTTGAGGGCAAGTTTTGAAACATTTCAAAACATTAGGGTTTTAACTATTTAAATTTCAAAACAACAAAACTTTTGGGGTTCAAATTTAAACTATAAAACCTAAAGGGATAAATTGAAACTATTTCACAAGATAATTCAAATCTAAATTACAAATAATCAAACTTTATCTAATAAAACAAGTGATTATCTAAATTTTGACAATTATCTTCTATTTTGGTAAGGATAATCACATAATAATGAAAAAATTCGGATTTTATCACAAAAACAAGTTTATGGTAATTATCCAAAACCAAAACAGGAAGAAAATCGCGAATCTGAGCTGTCAGACCCTTTGACTCGTCGAGTCTGGACCTGGACTCGTCGAGTACAGCTGACTCGGCGAGTTCACCAAGTGACTCGGCGAGTCAAACATTCAGAAACTCAAAAAATCGATTTTCAGTGCTTATTTCGATCAAATATGCATCAATACAATTGAAACCAATCTAGGCTCTGATACCACTGATGGGTTTTGGTCATAAGACATCCTATGTGCTCATACAAACCCTAATGCTTGGATCTAGGTTTCTCTATTGTACATGCTTTGAATCCAAGACTATAAACCCTAATTCTAGCATACATATAATCATATTAACATGAGAATAAGTTTATAGTGTTACCTTGATTGTTATGTAGCAATAACAATCCCAAATCTCCTTGTATTGACTTTGGAAGGCTTAGAGTCACAAGTGTCACTCCTCTAATGGCTCACAAACACCATAAGCAAGTGGAGAAGGTATAAGGAGAGAAGTGAGAGGTTAGAATTCGTATCTAGGACCTCTTGGGAAGGGATACACGAATTCATGGCCCTAGGGGTGTTTATATAGGTGTAGAGATAGGGTTTCAGTCATTATCCTTATCTAGTTGATTATCCATTAAGCAACCAATAAGATAATCCTTGAATCCTTATCATACTCGAATTCTAAGGGATTTACACCTCAAATTCGTTCACCATATATATAAGATAATCCTTACCTTATTTTGTAACTATCACATAATTACAATTCAGCCCCTCTAGTTTAATTAATTACATTTGATCACAAAACAAATTCTTAATTAATTATTGACCAATATTAATTAAACAAATATGATTTCTCCTTTAATATATTATTCTTATAACATATTAATAAATCATATTATCCTCTCTCTCTTTATTCATTTCTCCAATCAAGTTGCTTTGGTGAAGGCAACCCAAAAGGACCATGCACCATCGGGTCAAGTACATACCAAAATAGTTATGGACTTAGACACTAATCCAACAGTTATCCATTCTTGAGTGTTTTGGTGTTCTTGGAGGCTAGAAGAAGAAGAAGAAGGAGATTGAAGGTTCAAGGAGGAACTTGTAGATCCAGAGACACCATCTCATTTCCATCATTTTCTGGTAATCAAGTCTTCATCTTGAATTATAGCCTCTTAGATCTATTTATGTCCACTTTATGAGAGTTTTGGTGCATGGAGCTTGATCTATGGGACATGGATGTACCAAGCAAAGATCCTTCAGATCTGGGGTCCCTAAGAGTGCTTAAGGCATAAAGGTGCCTGCTTTATGCCATTGGAACCCTCATGCAAGCTTTAAAGAGGCTATTATGGCCTTTTGAGCAACAATGGCCATGCATGGATGTAAAGGTGGAGACTTTGCGTTATATTTCAACCCTAGAAGATTTGACATGGGTCCTAGATGCCTTGTGTTCGAATGAAATCGTCTGAATAGAATTGGACTTAGGAGGACTCGACGAGTTGCTCTTAGGACTCGGCGAGTCAGGCCGTTTTCTATCCAAAACCCTTCTGATAGCGGGTGTGTGTTAAGTTGGTAGAGGACTCAGCTAGTTGGGTTCATTATGCACTTGAAGATCATCATACTCGACGAGTTCAAGGAACAAACTCGACGAGTCTAAGGCAATATCCCTAACTTATGAAGATGGACTCGACGAGTTCAAAGGTGAACTCGATGAGTCCGTTGAACAAGGGTTCCGACGTGTTTGAAGGTGAACTCAACGAGATCAAGGAAGATTCGGCGAGTAGGACCTAAGTCCAGAGTTACGTGTGGATTGTGGGACTCAACGAGTTGGTGGGTCAACTCGGCGAGTTGAGTCAACTCGGAACATTGACTTTGACTAAGTTTGAACTGGTTTGACTTTTGAGGGTATTGTAGTCTAAGTGTTTTTTGGGTATTGATAGTTCGGGGAGCCGAAGGATCAATAGTTCAGGAGTTGCCGATTAGTAGCCAGAAGTGTTCAGCTAGTCTTCAACAGTGCAAGGTGAGTCTCCTCAATGTTTGTGTGGGTCTAAGGCACCAATGCCGGCCCATGTAGTTTATGAATGGTAGGAAGACCTGGGGGTTAGCCCTAGGAATTATGCATGAAAGACCAGGGGGCGGCTCCTGGCATACAATATGTTATTATGAATGGTAGGAAGACTTGGGGGTTAGCCCTAGACATTATGCATGAAAGACCAGAGGCGGCTCCTGGCACACAATATGTTATTATGAATGGTAGGAAGACCTGGGGGTTAGCCCTAGGCATTGTGCATGAAAGACCAGGGGTGCCTCCTGGCACACAATATGTTATTATGTATGGTAGGAAGACCCAGGGGTTAGCCCTAGGCAATACGTATGAAAGTCGTAGAATATGTTAAACCGAGAGCGTTCATAAAAAGAATGTCCAAATCTGACTTCGTATGAGGAAGTTATGATTTTTCTACGTTAAAGCGATATTTGGCCTTAGCGATCTAAATCTCTCGTTGATAGTAGTTCAACAGTAAAAAGACAGACGAAAATGGACGTCGGATGAAGAAGTTATGAGTTTATAACGGAGTTTTCCTGTCCCGGTCCACTAAAAATAATATAATAAAAATTAAAGTCAAAATTAGCCGACGGAGTCTAAACGAAAGTTGTAGAGCATAATCTCACCTACACGTGGATATAAAGAACATCGAAAATGGAGGTCGTATGCGAATATTATGCATTTCTGAAGTTCGGGGCACGAACACCAACACTGTGTCAGAGTTCATGACGTGAAAAATGGGTTCATGACGTGAACTTAGTGCTGACGTCTTCTGGAGCCTGACAGACCGAACACCGTGACAACGCACCTGATGATGTCCAAGGCCACGACATGAAATGATGGTTCACGACATGAAACTCGAAAAATCAGTCCTATAAATAGAATCGAAGGGCAGCCAGTTTTGGTTGCTACTTTCTTACTCTCTCTCTCTCTCTCTCTCTATATATATATATATATATATATATATATATATATATATATATGTATATATATATACCCTCTCTAAGCCATCTGGAAGCACCCCCGAAGCCCTGATATCATCCCGAGACCCGAAGCAAGTCTCGACACTCCAAAGATACCGAGGAGAAAATAGTTTCAAACTGAAGCTCTGCCCGCAAGAAGCCCGGTGTCTGAAGATATCCCAGATTCATCGAAGAATGCTACTTGAAGCACTAGTAGATAAACATCCTTTTACGACACACAATGCGTGTCGTAAAATGCTCAGACGACGTGAAAATGCGCATCAAGGAAGGCCCTGTCATAACGAGAGACGACGTGCTTTTGCACGTCGTATATTTACGACGCGCATTTATGACGCACAATGCATATCAAGGAAGGCCCTGTCATAAGAAAGATGACACGCATTTGCATGTTGTAAGCTTACGATGCGCGTGTTTATGACACACAAAGTGTATCAAGGAAGCCCATGTCGTAAAGGCAGACGACACGCCATTGCGTGTCGTAACTTTACGACGCGCGTTTATGACTCACAATGTATATCATTAAATCTACTGTCATAAATGAAGATGACACACATTTGCATGTCATAAATTCCAGCTGCCTGTTACTATACACCTTTACAATGTGCATTTACAACACACATTTACAACGTGAATACACATAATAAAAGACAAATATATATACCAAAACATTCATTTTCATCTAAACGTCAAACAACTTACCTAACAACATTACATATATGTCGAATTACCTAAGTTACACTACATGTCAAGTTACCTTAAGTAACATTACTAAAAGTTAGCAAAAACATGTACATGAATGTCAAATGACTACCTAGCATTACACCACATGTCAATAGACCATACCTAGCATTTCACTGTTAACCATAACATTGTTTTGCGAATACATTATCAAAAGACCATACATATCATCGATAAATGAAGCCTGTAACAAACTCCGACCATTCTTCATGTATCTCGTCGATATCATCAGTTGTATACTCAACTTTGCCATCCCTGATCTGTGAAAAAATTTGCATATTGTTTTTATTAATAAAAAATAGCATATTAACATATTTTGTGTAACAGTAAGTTGCTATATTTAACAAATAAGCATAAAATGTAAATTATTCTTTCTTAATAGAGCACTATACATTCAAATGAATGAAAGTACACTTAATTTTTCATGTAACCTATTATTTCAATTATAATTGTGAGAGTAGGATGCCATAAAATAATCCTTTTTCAATTCCTTTCCTATTAAATTATAGTAATGAAAGTAGAATGCTATATCCTTACATTGTCTTTGACCAACACTTCAATTCCTTCTTCCACTATCTCATTCATGAACCTTAGCATGTAGTAGCCACATTCGGTAGCTCCAGGATGAACTAGACACTACACAATTACATATAAAATGATCATTGCAATTGATCAAAAAAAAAGAAGAAGTTAAAACTACAATTTCAATAAGGAATTAAGTGCCGACCGTAACATTAACCCAATTTAGTTTAACCCTTTTGTTGGATCCACTTTGTGTAGCATACATAACCATTGCCCTTAAAAAACATTAACAAATAGGTGTTTATTGTATTCACATCAAATGCTTTGATAATTTATATTACTTACGAATCAACAATTTGCTTCAACTGCATATTGAAATTGCTAGAACTTAAGGAACCAAGATAAAAGCAATTATCCGATTTCATGTCCAGTACACCCAATACCCAATGTCTTCTACAAAAACCACAAAAAAATTAAGTCAAATAACATAATTGTAGTCATTTTCAAAATAAAATGTCAAAATCAAACCCGGGATTGTAGGGCATAAAGATGATGTTATTGCCTTTTCTTTTAGACAACCGATCTACTAAACCTCTACTTGCATCGTCAATATTCTTAGATTTCTCTTTATGCGTACGTGGCGAGATTAATGTCGGGTTCACAAAGCAAATTCCATGATCTCTTTCTGGGGAGGCATACTTCATTTTGTTAAACAACACTCTATTATCATACAAATACTAAATTCATTAAACAAATTTTGTTTTAAGACAAAATTTTATTTAAATTAAATTTCTCGCACTTACATCATATTAGACACAATAACAGCACCGGTAAGCTCATCCATTGTAAGAACTGCTTCAAAATCATCCCAAGTTAAGTACGTGTGACTATCTTACCAAAAAAGATCGTTCTCACTCTGCACTTTTATAGAATCAACCTTTGTAATTTGTCCATCAGCCATCATTGCAGTCATTTTCAAAATGCTACTCTTCTTAATCCTTATCGTTGTCTTCATCTGTGCTATGGTCCATCTTCTTTGCAAGGTCACATGTTGTTTCTCCTTCTTTTCAATCTTCTTTTCTATTCCATTCCCTTCTTCCATATCATCCACTTCTTCCGCATCACGTGGTTCTTTTTGTTCATCATCCATTTTTCCTGTCCCCTTTTCTTTCTTATTACTTCCTATTTCTTCTTTTAAAGGTGTTGCACGTTCCTCACTGGTGTTGCATGTTTCTTCACAGGTTTCCCCACCACTTTTCCCTACAAAAATTATCAAAAATACAGAATGAAACAGAAATCATTTACTGAAGCTGAAAAAGAAATCACTCAAATATAAGAAAAAAATAAGAAAACCAAGGGAAAATCTGTGAAAACTTTGTTTGTTTTAAATCTGTGAAAATTACCAGGTTAAAGCATCGAATAACCAAGTGTCTTGGCCAACTTAGTATGTGTACCAGTGCATCTTTGACCTTCACAATGAACTCCTCTTCAAGTGGAATGGGTATTAAAGCTTCTCCTTGTAAAATTGTTTCCATCACAACTTCAATGTTTTCAACTGTACATAAACATAAAAAATAATTAAGATCCAATCTTCTAAAAAATAAAAATATATAAATAGTAATAATGCAAATATTTTTCAAAATATCCGATGCACTATACTTCATTATGGTTCCTTTAGCGACTACATTTGCAGCAAATTCAACCGCAAGAAGACATGAATTATCCTACAAAAATATAGTATGTTAGTTTGTCGAAAAAGAAAATTCTTTAAATATAATTTTCATAATTGTCTTCAAGGACTTACAAGTGATTCATCCCGTGGTTTTTTTTCAACGTCTACAATGACGCCCCTACTTGGCAACTTGTGGCTTCAGAAACATTAAGTACACCTCTTTTTAGTTTCTCCAAGTCATCTTTAGGTTTGTTGATTCGTTTATCCACCCTCTCGTTCTCAATGTCCAAGTAATACTTAACATCATGGTTGCAGAAATCGCTAATCGGCTACTAATCGGCGGACTAACGATTAAGGATTAATCGGCTAGGCGGGGATTAATCGGGAGATTAATCGGGGACCATTAATTCTTAAGAAAATTATTAAAAAATTTATAAACCTAACTTTAATTCTCCAAAAAAAAGTGATTAATCGGCGATTAGGTCTGATTAGGTCCGATTAAGTCTGATTAGGTCCGATTTTGACCTGCATTGACCAAACCCGATTAGGTCCGATTAACTCCGATTAGGTCCGATTAAGTCCGATTAATTCCAACTTTGACCTGCATTGACCAAGCCCGATTATAGTGACCGATTAGCAATAAATCTCATCGGTGGAGGTCCGATTAGCGATTAATCGCCGATTAATCGGCCGATTAGGCCGATTTCTGCAACACTGCTTAACATTCTTAGGTAAATAAAAGTATTGCTGTGGCGTTATAAATTTACCCATCCCTCGTACACGCCGACGTTGTTCCTAAGTACCCAAGGCCTTTGTATGCACATCATGTGTTCCACATGTAACCTCTCTAAAGCTTCCAGATTTCTGCAGCTCGTCGTGTAAGAAAATTGGGACAAATGTTAGAAAAAAATGGGACAAATGTTATTTTTTTTATATATATTTGGCATTCAATGAAACTTACAAATTTATCAACAATCATCTTGACATCTAATTTGTATCCTCCTGTCTTCAACTCTCTTCATTTTTTCCACAACAGTGTCCTATCAATCTCCTCTTCCGTCTTGCCGGTTTCATGCATCTAAATTATCAAGAATAACAAAGTCAATTAACATAAATATATACAAATAAAATAATCAATACTTAGTGGGAATCATACGATATCATTAATGAGTCCGACATATCCTTTTCTACTCAAACGATGATTGTATTTATGATGTGCAGGGGTATTTTTAGCCTTTGTACTTTTCTCCTGCATTAAAAACATTAAAATTGTAACTACAAACTTTTAAATTTCCACTTTTTTGTAATTCTATGGGATATAAATGACTATAAGAAAAGTTTAACCAACCTCCCACTTTTTTATAACTCTATGGGATACAAAAACTTTCCAGTCTTCTTTCTTTATAAACAGATAATCTTTCGGAGGTTTGAATAGATTTATCTTCGGATCTTTACTTCGGTTCTTAATGAACTTGGCATATAGATAATGTTTGAATTTTCTCCACTTCTTCCTGATCGATTGGGGAGTTTGCTTCTGGCTCTTTGGGTCAACTACAAACTTTTCTTGAAACATAAAAAAAGGGTTGGTTTGAAAACAAATCTGAACATGGACAAAAATAGAAATAGTGGATAATATAACTTGGTTCAAAAACATCAACAAAAACAAATCAAAACAGGGACAAAAACGGGTAATAACAGGAAGAAACAAAGACTTACCAATACATATTGCCATAACCCTTCCCTTACTTCTTCACTAACTTCTAGCCAAGACTCATAGGTTATGGGAACCATTGTTCTTGCAACCATACCCTCAAAAGTAGACAGTTTTGTGGCTTTCTTTCCAACCAGGACACCTTTTTTTATTGTAAGTTACTACAAGTTTCACTTTATTAGCTTTTGCCTTTGTTGTCGGACCTCTTTGTTTGGAGTCCTCATAGTGATCAGAAGCTGAATCCGATTCCATGTCACAAAAACACAACCTGTTTCAACAAGATTCAAATAAAATTAAGTACATTGTTATTTGTTGCAGTTGGAAAAAAATTAATCACATTCAAAATATGAAATAAAAACATACCAAAAACTTTATTATTCTGCAAAAAAAATATATTTAAACTAATATGCCCTAGCCATCTGGGCGCGTACACAAAAAATCATCATCAAGGTCTAATAAAGCGGAGTCTTGTGTTAAATCAAAAGTAGCATCAAATTCCAACATATCATCAGTTTCACCATTTGATCCATACTTGTACATCCTATGTGGTATGAATCCAACAACATGCAAATTCTCATCTTGTTGATCTTGAACATAAAAAACCTGTTTGGCTTGACTAGCTAATACGATGGGTTCAGACTTTTGACCAAGTCTATCAAAGTTAACTAACGTGAATCCTAAGTCATCCTTTTTTACTCCACGACTATCAAACCAATCACACATGAATACAAGAATAGTAAACATGTGATAATCAAGATCCCATATCTCCTTTATACGATCGAAGTAAGTAACAACACCATACACAGGAGTGGAGTCTTTGGCACTAGCAATCTGCATAGTATATGCAACTAAAGATACTCCACTGCATTGAGTTGTTCTAGACTCATCTTGAGATGTTTTATGAAAATGATACTCATTTATGTCAAAACCACTATATTTACTAACAGTAAAATAGGCCCTTTGGCCAACCAACGAACATCATCACAAGTATCTTCCCCGTTAGCCAAACATTTTTCAACCTATTAGAAAAATATCTACTTAATATAATTCAAACAAAATAATTAAAAATATTGTAATTCTAACAATCTTATAGTAAAAATTAACCTCTTTCTTAAACCAACTAATAAATGTCCGACTATGTTGGCTCTGCAACCATGTACTTTTGCGAGCGTGACGGGGGTTCAGATCCTTCAATTCCAACATATGTTGCCTGAAGTGTATTACAAGTTAGAAGAATGTTTTATATGATAGATAATGGTATAAGAGTATACAATTGGAAAAAAAAATCTTACTCTATATACGGCTCCACAACAACAGTGTTTCGTAATACATAAAGATGAGCTTGATCAAGTAACTGAGCATCTACAACATCGATTATAGCCTTTAATAAAGGCTTGCCGCTGCGGATTCTTTCATCAACACGTTCATGAGGATTTCGAATTGATTTCCTGTTTTTTAAGTAGTTTAAACAAAATTCTAAGGCCTCCTCCACCACATAACATTCTGCAATGCAACCCTCAGGTCGATGATGATTTCTCACATACCCTTTAAGTGTTTTCATGTATCTCTCAAATGGATACATCCACCTAAAATGAACCGGGCCACACAACCTCACCTCTCTAACTACACAACTCATTGAAAAAATAACACATGCTTAGGATTGTTCTCCGCACCTTCACATCTAACACCCCTTTGATTGCAAAAGGGAGAAGTTGTTGCATTAGTACATGACAATCATTAGAATTCAAACCATTCATCTTTGAAACATCATCCGACATGGGATTCTTGAAATTAGAGCAATACCGATGCGGAACTTTTATGTTAGACAGGGTATCATAAAATAGATGTTTCTCTGCGGAATTCAATGTGTACTTGGCAGGCGGAAGCCAATGTCGATCCCCTTTTGGTTGAGGTCATAATTCAGTCTTAATGCACAACGCTTCAAGATCTTGTCGTGCTTTTAATCCATCCTTCGTCTTATGAGGCAAATTCAACGCTGTCACATAAACACTCTCGGTCACATTTTTTCTATGTGCATGAGATCTAACTGATGGCGAAAAGGCAACTTCTTCCAATATTCAAGTTAAAAAAAATCAACTTTTTATTCCAAAATTTAGATCTCTCGTCGATACTTTCTTTTTTCTTCTTTGAATTTTCCTTCTTTGGTGTTTCCTTCTTTGACGCTCCCGTCTTTGACTTTATCCTCTTTAACTTTATTTTCTTTGATCCTACCTTGTTTGACTTTATCTTCTTACCCCATGTAGTCTCAAATCCCACAAGATAGTCATAAATATCTTCACATGATGATGGTTATGGCATAAAATCGTGCTCATGTTGATTGTTGAAATGTTTTTTTCTTTTACGAAAAGGATGTTTAGGAATCTTCTATGCCCAAGGAAGCATACTTTCTTGGACTTTGGCAACCATTGTGAACAAGTATTCTGTGAACATATTGGACAAGCATAATAACCTTTGGTAACACACCCCAAAAGATTACCATATGCTGGAAAGTCACTTATAGTCCAAAGTAATATTGCTTTTAGATTGAAGTATTCTTTCCTATAAGAATCGTCTTAACGCCAGTTTCCCACAAGAGTTTTAGATCTTCTATCAACGGTGCCAAGTAGACATCAATATTGTTACCAGGTTGGTTTGGCCCGGATATCAACAAAGTCAACATCATGAATTTTCTTGACATACACAAATAAGGGGGTAGATTATATGTTATTAGGATAACCGGCCAACAGCTATGCTTGGAACTTAATGAGTTGTGAGGATTGATACCATCAGCAGACAAGGCTAATCTAAGATTTCGTTTTTCTTGTCCGAATTCTTTCCACATGTTATCAACAAGCTTCCAAGAAGGGGTATCGCGAGGATGAGTAAGCTTCCCATTATTGCCCGACCTTGTGCATGCCAAATTAAGTCATGTGCAATTTGTGGTATTGAAAACATTCTTCTAAATCTAGGGATGATAGGAAAACACCACAAAACTTTTGAAGGTACATTTTTGGTATTCTTCTTCTAACGAGAAGTGCCACAAGTTGGACAATGAGAAGCATCTTTATGTTCTTTCCAGAATAGAACACAATCATTTTCACATTCATGAATCTTCTCATATTGTAGACCTACTCCTTTTAGCAACTTCTTGGACTCATATATCGAGCTAGGGATGGTATTGTTTAATGGTAAGATATCTTTTAGGACAGACAACAAAGCATCAAAACTAGCATCAGACCATCCAAACCGAGCCTTCAAATGTTGGAATTTCAATAATCCACTAAGTGCATTATACTTTGACCCTACATAAAGTGGCTTATCACATTCTTCAAGAAGTAATTTCAGATCAGGTTCTTCGTATATATATTTGGAGGAATCATATAGCATATCCTTTGTATAAATAGCATCAGGAGGAATGGAATTGTTAGGGTATCTAGAATCACTCTTGGGTTGTTTTTCTCCATGGAAAGACCAAATCTTAATATTTTCATCGAAGTCATGGGCAAACAAATGATAACGGACATTGTCAACTGAGTGGTGACACAAATTGATGCAATTTACACAAGGACATGGAATGACATCTAACTTAGGATTATTACTTTGTGCAAACTCTAGAAAAGCATTCACGCCTTCATCATATGCACTTGATAATCTACTAGAGGACATCCATAATTTATCCATTAAACATTTGTTTCCAACCTACATAATTATATACCATTTAAAGCAACACTAATTATGCATGTATATTTACAAAAACTGTGCAAAAACAAAACTATACAGGGGCCAAAACTGTACAGGGACAAAAAAAACTGTACAAGGGCCAATTTTGACAAAAATACTGCTCAGGGGCCAATCAGATGTCAAATACAGATGGTCAATACACAGAAATATAACATTTTGATGAGGGGAGGTGGATTATTTTTTAAATTTCTCGAGACTATACTTAAAAGAAAGAAAAAAAGAACTAATTTTGTGAAGAGAATTGCTACCATGCGCAATGGAAAAAGCTTCTAGGATGGAATCTTGGATTTTATAAAATAGGAAAAGTACACTTTATTTCTTTATTTTCCAGTTAATATTTAACTTATATATATATATATATATATATATATATATATATATATTTATGCCATTATTTATGTAACTAAAGTTGTCTTCTTATCTTTTTTGTATTGACTTGAGCAGCTATCTGATGCAATGATTTTCAACCATGACCCACCAAGATGTTTTGATTGTTGGGTAATGTATACATATAGTCTATTTAGAACTACATTTATTGGTGATATTTTTTATGTTCATAATTTTCTAAATAGCTTTATTTTTTATTTTTCACTATAGTTCTAGTTAGTAATAAAGATTTATATTGCCTCTTTACAGGAATGTGAGTTGTTCACTTTTGGTTTGTGTTATATGTGATTCATATCAATTTCATGTTGTTATGTTAATGAAGGAAGTGAGAGATGAGCTTTGTAAGATATTCTTTCTCAGGTAGGATTTTGAGATTTTCATTAACAGAAGCTTTCAGCCATAGCACATGAAAACAAACTTAAAGAATCTCATTTGAAAGTTTTCTCAGAACTAGCTGAATTATGCCAGGCTAACATGGTCAATACACATAAAAATTTAATGAGGGGAGGTGGAGCTGAAAGCTTTGGAGTGAAACAGTTGGTTATAAAAATTTTGATGTTGATTTTATTTTGCCATATGGGACAGGTTGCTCTTTCAAGAAAGTCTCCATATGTTCAAACTGCCCATAGGCCTTTCTTGACAAATAAAGATCATCTTGCTAATGCAAGGAGAAATAGGGGTATTTTGGGCATTTCATATTATTAGTTTGTTATGTCTTCTTACATGTGCACCAAAGACTCGCATCTTTATATGACACACATGCAAAACAATAACAGATTTAACTAACAATGATGTCAGTCTAAACTTTTAATTTACTTATCATTGTATTTGTTTGTATATCATCAATCTTACATTTGTAATTTGGTTTTTTGCTTACTTTTTCTCTTATACTTAAAATTCCCTACTTTTCATTCAAACTCCTTTTTTAAATGTTACTACTACAAAACAAATAGAAACTGTCTTTCACAATACCAAAAACTCTAACTGCAATAAGTAATCAATTCTTATTTCAATATGCACAAAATTACCTACAATATGTCAAATATCCAAGCATCAAGTTTCATTTTAGAAGGCTTCTTTATACCAATCTATATCCTATTCCTAATTGCTATTTATTAAATATTATTTTGTTTTCATGAAATAGATGTCAAGTAAAAGTGGAGGTGAGGCTGCAACAAGTAACATAACAATTGTTGCTTTATCACCCTTTGAGGCTGTAGGAAGTATCAGAACAATTGTAACTCAATGTAACTATATGCATATTGCAATGCACAATTATGAAAAAAATTATCGAACATTAGCATTTAGCAAGTTATGTGTGAAGGAAGGTTCACATAATGCAAGCTTGGATACTATACTTTAAACTAATTGAAACATGCTATCATCACTTTACCACATAAGGTACTAACACATTTAAGAGAATGATACTTGAATATGTAGTTTATTGAATGATTAATAACACATCTAAGCACAAAATATAATAACTACATCAGGTGTTAGTGGGGAGTACATGTTTGCTTGCGTGCCATGAATCTGTCACCGAAGTTTTATCTGAATACAATGTTCGGTTCAATGAGAAGAACATTGGTGTGAAGGATTTGAAGCATGGTACTGTGATAACTGATGCATATATATTCAAGAGAAATGGCCAACTAGAATCGTATTTAGTCTAATATATGAGTAAAAAATCATGGTACTATGATAATTGATGCATACATTGATGTTACTAGACATGTAGAGGGGTATGTTCAGGAAAGAAGTTGTGAAGCATGGTATGTTTTTTTCCAACATAGTTTATTGTTTGATATCAAAGATGAATTAATGATGTTTCCGCATTGATTTTACTATTTATACTTCATTTTAGACAATATACATATTTTTTTTTTATGTTTAGGGTTAATTGTGTTAGTTGATTTGGTATATTCTAAGCGTTTGGGCTCAAAGCATTAAATAGTTATACCAACTCCACAAAACAGGTACCAATTGTTCCAACCGTGCATTTGGCCATGAAACTGTGAACATGACTGGTGTGGTGTGATCTAACCAGTCCAGTTATCAGTTCTCATTATCGGTTTGAACCGGTTTTGGTTCCAAACCAGGTTCACCGGTTTATCGCCCCCAAATTGTAACTAATACCAAAAGGCCTGCTGCTAGTCCAATCATATTGTAGTGAAGGTGATAGACAAAACATGTTAGACAACAATAGTTGAACAATAGGTGATGTTTTTTTACTATAGATGTATTATCTATCTATATACAGGTTTTGTTGTTCATTTTTGAAAAGCTTATAAATTATTGATGTATTAGATATGCACACAATAATAATTGAATAAAAACATTTACAAGGTTTTATTTTATGCATATCAACCGAGCATCAGATTAATAATTAAAATATAGAAAGAAAAGTATACCCAACAGTAAAATCTAAAATGTAAGAAAGTTTTTACAGTGCAAAAATTCAAAGTGAAAGGGTTTCACAAAGGAAAGTAAGTGATGGTGATAGGCTAAAATATTGTTATGTACTGCTTGCTTTAGAGTTTGAGTTTACCAAATCACCCTGACACAAAGTCAGAGTCAAAGTCAAACCAACCCACAGGCAGTTGTTAAGTTAAAAATGAATAACAGCACTAACCAACCAATCCATAAATCGTATGATAATCATAATTAATAATGCCAAAACAGGTGAGAGTGGACAATTACCAACAAACTGAAGAAAAAAACAAAAAACTAAAGGTTGTTAGGTTAGTTTTTTTTCTTCTTGATTTAGTTTTAATTTTTGGGTGTTGATTGAATTTAGTTAGGTCTTTATGATTTAAGATGTAGGAGATTGAGAATATGAAGATTAGGGAAAAATAGTCATTTTACTTTAAAACCTTTTTATTAATGTCGTCGGTGCCAGAGACGAACCTTGCAGGAAACTAAATTTGATGGTGTTACCATTGGATTCTGATACAATTCGAAAAGGCAATTAAATTTACTCTTCTACACTACTAATTTGACAATTTAAAGAGTTTTTTTTTTCGGAAAAAGATGTGTCTTCTCTTTAAGAAGAATCCTCAATATATACTCAATACACAAGCTAATTATCAGCCTAAGTTACAAATTTCTAGCCTATATATTAGCTTACTAGAGTTATATATGAAAATTGCATGTGATACAGAGAAACTAAGGTATTGGCAAAAATGAAAACACATTTGGTTGACAAAATGGATGGAATTGGATCCCATCAGATTCCCGCAAAATGGATAGTGATGCTTGGAAACTCATACTCACAGAAATATGTCAGGCTCTTGTTTTAAATGGATTTAGAGGAAGGTTGAGTCTCAAAATTGAGGGTGAAGATTTTGTGACTTTGGTGACTAAATCAACTCACCAAGACACTGCAACAAGGATGACTATTATTGTACACAGAGCTTAGAACATAGGTAGATCCACAAGGTTGAATGCTAAGAAACAAGTGAGCTTATCAGAATTAATTTGTTGATGGATGAAGTGAAGGATTTGGGTGACAACATAGAAGAGAAACCCTATGTTATTAATTGGGATGGAGCCGTAAGGATTGAGAAGGTTGTTGATGAAACTGGAAGTAGAGAAAAGAAGGTCAACAAACGGAAGGTGAAATCAATTGAAAGAAATGTGCAACTTGAGGCTATGGATGTAGAGCTTGACATGAAGGAAACAGATAAATCAGGCCAAGTAAACAAGACTAACCTCGTTGGATTGGTTAGAGATGATGGGAAGACTTTTGTTTTAAGCACGAAAGAAGAGCCAAAGTTTGAAGAATCTGAAGAGAAACATCGCACAGGGGAGTTTGATAAAGAGAAGTTTGAGGGATTTTTCATCACTTTTCTTGGGCCACTAATATTATACTTACACGGTTAGCCAATCCTCACGGTGAAAGTTTAGGATAAAAACCAGACCAAATGTTCGCAAGATGAAAGAAGGGGATAAAAACATTACATACAACTTGAGAAGCTTGAGATTTACCTTGTGTTCAACTTGAAAAGCTTCAGTAAGTGAGAAACCCTTGAATGTGTTCAATTTAGCATCAGATTCATGGCTACCAGGCACTTCTTCCCCTTGTGTCAACTTTCTTCTGCTCTTTCTCTTCTGTTACTTGGTTCTCTAGCCAACAAGGAAGTTCACTTTGCCTAAATCGTTTCAACATGAACACCTTAATCGGAACTAGGGCATGCAAATTTGAGTAGTCTCTAATGATGTTAGTTGAGCCCAAGGTCGTTGGCGAGGCAAAATCAGCTGGAGGAGAAGTACCCTAATGTCGTCGGAGGAGACGTCGTCTGCAATGGGAGGCGAGTAAAGGTCTCAGAGTCGATCAATTGCAGAGAGTAAAGTGAATGATGCATAGTGATTTTTAGGATATTTTAGTAGTAACCTCGATTATTGCGCGCCTTTCATTAAAATTATAAGGCAACATTTATTGAGATGACACACATTTTACATAAAATGCGCTCCGTGTTTTAAGTTTTTTACATTAGACACTAATTTAAGGGCATGCAATAATACGCGACCTAAATCCTTCAAAATTTTGAAGAGATGCCGCGTTTTTAATGTCACTCTCTTTTGCGTAACATAGATAAATGAGCGTCGTGTTTTGTGCGTCATAAAAGGGTCTTTTTCTTGTAGTGAAGAGTTGTAGTGTTGTTCGAGAATTGTCTTAACAAGTGAGTGTAGTTACTTTCTTCTACCGCATAGATATGAAGTATTTGCTATGAAATACGTGCTATGTGTTTATACGTTGTTTGTTTACTTGAGATGGTTGTTAAATGAATGTTTATATAGGTTTTTAAATGATTTAAACTATATATGTAGTTTATATCTACAAATATGTTGGGTAGAACATGGGTAGATGAAATAGTTGGTGTGTGATGAAAGATGAGTTTGAGGAGGAGACGGAAGATGATATAGATCTTGAGATGACGGTGACAGGCAAAAAATGAGTGAAACCTTTACCCAAACGATGGACCTTGTCATTTAGCAGAGTAGGGATGACAACCATGGACTATTCTAGACAGTCATATGGAACACTAACAGGCTCGCAACTTGTAGGTGTTGTGGACTTGATGTTCACCGGTGTACTCTAAAAACCCATTGACATGTATTGCTATAGGAGTCTCGTAACCAATACTGTTAATAAACGAGATAAACCCCGACGACTTTGGAGTTAGCGCTTGGTAACTATGGATATAGTGTCTGTTGAGAAAACCCTGGCAATGATGGATTTTGTACCGATTCCTAAGGATAATCCTTAGGAATAAATAAACGAGGAAGAGTTGATTCTTAGGGTAATCTTTAAGAAATAAAAGGGAGATAATGGGGTGGGTAATTGGGTTGATTGTGTGATGATTAAATATAATATAATATTTTATTGTGGGTTGAAAACCCTATATGCTCACCAGACTCCCAAGCTTGACCCACTTAGTTTTCTTTGTATCACAGGTAGTGGCACAAGAGAATAAGTTAGTTGAGATGACAAGAGATTTTGGATTATAGATCAGGAGTTATAAATAACTGTTCTAAGGTCTATTTTATACTGTTTATGCTTTTGGTCTATATCGGAACATGACATCCCGAGATTTTGTTATTTAATGAAAATATATTTCTTTAAAGAAATGCTTTGATAAATTCTTATCATATGCATTTTGTTTTGGGAACGAATTCCGCAACAGTTTTCTTTAAACGATTACTATGATTTTTAAAACAAAGCATAAAGAAATCAGTATTTTCTATCCGTGAAAATTGGGGATGTTACATGCTTCCCTATTTAAAGGACATGATGGCCTCATTTGTGGTTACCATTCCCAGACATGAACCCTTTCAAACCCTAATTTATCGTCCATAGCTTGCTATCAGCTCCTTTGAGTGTTTTTAGTGGTGTAGAGTCATAAAAATCGAGACTTGGATGTTCAAATCAAACCATGCATGAGATATGAGCAATTTTGAGAATAGAGAGTGAGACTTTTGGTGTTTGTGACTTTTTCAGCCATGCAAAGGCTTAAAGTCACAGACTTTATGGAGTATGAGCCTTTAGGGAGTCCATATCGGAGATTTAAGATAAGGTCTTAACGGATTAAGACCAAGTGAGTAGGAAGAGCAAAACTGGGACATACGCTGAGCATAATCCCAATAAGCACATCGTAGGGTCGTGAATCCCGATGCATGCATGGCGATGGACTACGCCTAGCGTAGAGAGCTGGTACGCACGACGTACGCACTGCCATTAACTTTTAGTTGAATTTTAGGGTTTGATTAATTTGTGGACTATTAATGCCATGGAAGGGTAAAATGGTCTTTTATCCTTCTGTGAGTTTGTAGAAGGGTTAGTCTAGAATCTTTGAGAGTTGTTATTAAATAGACATAATTATCGTTTGTGTTAGGTGGAGGCTAGACCGGTGATTTGAGTTCGAGGTTATCCGATTTTGTGCGAGGTGAGTCTTCTCACTATACTTACCATGAGTGGTATCTTTGTGTGACCAAGGTGCCTTATGTACTTGCTGTGTACTGTGATATCCTGCATTATTTATTTGTGATTTATGCTGAGTATTATTATTATGAGCTTATTGAGTTAGGACCTGAGGGTCCACCCGATTTATGGGACCAAAGGGTCCCCACTGAGACACATTGACCGGAGGTTTGTATGTAGTTAGCCTCGAGTGGCTAATGTGATGTGTGTGGTATTTTGGGGAACTCACTAAGCGCTGTGCTTACCGTGTTATGTGTTATGTGTTTCAGGTACTTCTCAGGATCACAGGAAGGCACCAACTTGATTGTACACACGAGGCGGAGTCACATTTTGAGGATCCTGGATTGTGTTTAAACATTTTCTGAATATGTGTTTTTGAAAATATTGTCATTTGGGGTGTTGTGAACTATGTTATGAGGATTATGTGATTTTTACAAATGAAAACTTTATTTGAAAATTTATGTTGTTACAAGGTCAATACAATACCCCCACCCCTAGAATAGACCATACCCTTTGTCGATAACTTGCGCCATGGCGTGCTTCCGGACAACCCAGAGGAAGCGAGGAAAGTCAAAATCAGAGCACAACATTTTGCAATCAGGGATAATCAACTTTACCAAAGAGGATACTTAAGCCCATGGCTCAAATGTGTGTCTAAAACAGAGGGGCAGACGTTCCTCGAAGAAAGCCATTCCGGGGACGCAGCAGCACATGAACGTGCTCGTGCACTTACAGGAAAAATACACCGCCTAGGAGTATATTGGTGGGACGTGTACACCGATGTTGCAACTCTAACAAAGAAATGCACAGAGTGCCAAGCCTTCGCTCCTTTCCAAAACCAACTTGCCATGCCATTAACCTGTTGGATTAATGTCTAAGTCAGTAACCATATTTGGTATATACTTGACCCGAGTGTGCATGGTCCTTTTGGGTTGCCTTCACCAAAGCAACTTGACAAGGTAATTTGATATGAGAGAGGAGATATTATGATTTATTAATATATTATAAGAATAATATATTAAAGGAGAAATCATATTTATTTGATTAGTATTAGTCATAAATTAATTAGGAATTAATTTGGTGACTAAAAGAGACAAATTAAATAAAGGGGTATAAACTGTCAATTGTGTGATAGTTGAGTTTTGGGCTAGGAAACCTAATGGACTAAGGGGGAACGAAATTATGATGAAGGATCATCATATTTTCGTCCAAGGCCTCATTCCATAAGGTTTCTTGGGCTGCTTGGTGGCTAAGCTGTCCATTAGGGTTTTGACTGAAACCCTAGCACCCTATAGTATAAATACATACCCTATGCTTCAATTTAAGGCCACTTGATTCCAAGGGAACCCTAGGGCCGAAATTAGCATCATTCCCTTCTCTCTCTTAGTTGCCTTCTTGCTTCAAGGTGTTTGTGAGCCATTAGAGGCACTACAATTGTGGTGCTTGCTTTCAAGAGTTCTAGAGAGTTCAAGAGATCAAGGAAACTAGTTGTTATTGCTATATAACAACAAAGGTATGTTTTCTACACTTCTATGTAAATTTCGAAAATTATAGAAGCATGCTAGGGTTTATTTTGTGTTCATAAAGTGATAGTCCAAACTAGGGTTGCATGCACACATAGGATTGTTTGTATAAAACCTAACAGTGGTATCAGAGCCATTGGTTTTTTGTTTTCAATTGGATTTGATGCATATTATGAACTTGACAAATTAGGGTTTATGGCAAGTAAACCCTAAGGCTTGGTGATTTTCGCAAATTAGGGTTGCCAAACCCTAGTTGGCGATTTTTGATAGGGTTCTTGAAACCTTTTTGCCTAGCCTCCAAATTTCGAAATTAGGGTTATGAAACCCTAGGGATTTCGAAAATCCCTTGTCCCCAAGATAAGATCCCAAGATTTTAGGGATATGGATAATACTATCTTTGTGATTATCAATTTAATTGTTTAAACTAGATAATTGAAGATCTTGTATTATCCTTTCCATATATTTAAAAATAAAAGGATTAAATAAATTAATAGTTTAATTTTATGATAATCCCTAAAGATTTAATATTTCAAATTAATTGTTTGATTTTGATAATTATTAAATCAAAGATTTTTGGTGTTTAAAATTTTAAATTAAATAGCCTTAATTCCGAAAATTTTAAATACACATTAAGATACTAGTATTTTTGAAATGTTTTAAAATACACCCTTATACAATTATGATATTATAAGATTAATTATTATATATGTATAAGAATAAGCTAGTCTTATCGCTAGTAGGCCTCATTCACGAAGCCGGTCTATAAGGTGGGTATAAGGTTGCTGCCTATAAAATGGCGCTTAATGGATGTACACTCACATCTACCGCTTGCTTGACTGGTGGAGGGTCGTTAGCCGAACGGATAGGATAGGGCACTT